AGGTTCATTATCGGCGTCGTCGTCTCCCCTGACGTATTGTCGTTTAGGGAGATTCTAGTGCCGTTGTACGTTACTACTTCGTCGATACGAAGTGTATATCGCGCGTTGAGATCATTAATCGCTATGCGTATAGGCGGGACGCCCACCGCCACGCAGAGGCCGTCTCTCGGGGTGGTTGCGCGAGCATGCGCCACAACTCCTAAAACGCTCCTCTGTGCGGCCGCAAGCGTCAACCAGTCTTTAGCATTGCACAAATCGCTCCATGTCGGAGACGCGTAAGCAATCACCGGCAGGAAGTACCCCCTATATAGAGTTAGACAGGTATGGTAATTAAGTCCCCAACGCATTCGCGAAAGGCGCCTTATTTTGTGGAATAACTTTTCCGCTTGCGCCCGTCGTTTATGAATATGCATGGAGATGTTAAGATCTCTGCCGAACCAAACCCCCAGATACTTAACCGCTTCTGGGTATTTTATCCTGTTGCCATCTATTGTAATCTTAGGCGGTTTACATTCATGCCTGTCTTTCTTTCTTCTTAGGTGTGGCTTATATTCTCTGTAGTTTCTCTTGCCTCTGAGTTTTACTTCTCTCTTCATGAAGATTGCTTCCGTCTTCGTTTTTGACAGCTCGAGCTTGGCATTCTTGCACCAATTGAGTATTGTGTCAACAACTACCTGTCCTTTGGCTTCAAGTGTCTCCCTTGAATTGCCATCAATGATAACGATTAGATCGTCTGCGTATACTGCGTATTATTTTCCATGTCTGTGGGTCATCAGAGAAGAATTTACGCAACTTCATGAGCTCTCACTTCCACGATGGATTCACACAACCAGACATTCAACTGTAGAAATTCATGGATTCTCTGATCTTTCACAGCTTGCGATGGCTGCAGCAATGTACCTTAAAATCAATTCACCGTCCACAGGGCCCAAAATCACACTCATCTGTGCGAAAACTAAAGTAGCACCAATCAAACAAATCATGATCCCTAGGCTAGAGTTAACAGCTGCGTTAATTCTAGCGACACTCACAAAGTGTGTTCAAGCTACACTCCACAGAGTGAACATACATTCAATTCACTTATGGACGGACTCTTCAATCACTCATTCATGGATCAATTCGAATGCAGGACTTTGTTAGGAACAAAGTAGTGCAAATTCAAGAACTAGTTGCGGACGCGCACTGGCACCATATTTCTAGCAAGGAAAATCCAGCGGACTGTGCTTCAAGAGGCATTACAGCCACTCAATTAAAAGATTACTCGCTATAGTGGAGGGGACCCACTTGGTTAGCTGAAAATCAAGAAAACTGGCCAGTAAATTCACCACCAGCTGACGAGTTTAAGTAACAACAAGTTACTTGGAATCACCGCCCTAATCATAAAATTTACTTCAAGACTTCGACATTCACTAGTTACCAGTCCTTTAGCATCAATCACAACCGATGACATCGAAAAGGCAAGAATCTTCTGGATAAAGTTACTCAAGCAGCACATTTTTACCAAGAAATCAGGACTTTATCCAACAATCAACATTTTCCACCAAACCATTCATTCAACAGACTCACAGCATACGTTGACTCAGAAGAAGTTCTACGAGTAGGAGGACGATTTCAGCATGCTCAGTTGAGTCATGATTCAAAACATCAATCAATTCTACCTCGACATTTACCGTTCACCACTCTTATTATTAGACATTATCATTTAATCACACTACATGGTGGCACTTGACTTACACTCACAACAATCAGACAACGTTACTGGATCATTGGTGGAAGAGCTCCAGTAAAAACATTCATTCTTCGGTGCATCGAATGTACTCGACAAAGAGGCATAAGAGCACAACAACTCATGGGCCAATTGCCACAATCACGTATCACTCCTTCACGGCCATTCTCTTATACTGGCATAGATTATGCTGGGCCATTCACAATCAAAACATCATCAGGCAGAGAAGCCAAGACAAGAAAAGCTTGGGTCTGTGTATTTGTCTGCATGTCAACTTCTGCAGTTCACTTGGAAGCAGTTAGTGACTATTCATCTGAAGCATTCATTGCTGCCTACAGAAGATTCACCTCTAGACGAGGATTATGCCCGACAATCTATTCTGACTGTAGCAGAAATTTCATAGGAGCTGATATAGAACTCAAGAAACTATTCACACAATTCACCAGAGAACATAAGGTCATTTCTAGATTCATCATCACCAACGGCACTCAATGGTCATTCAACCCACCTGCAGCACCATACATGGGTGGCAAGTGGGAGTCAGTAGTGAAATCACTTAAATTTCATTTGACGAGAATAATAAAAGAATCTTTCTTCACGTTTGAAGAGATCACCACTGACTCAAATAGAAGCCATTCTCAACTCAAGACCTCTAGACCCAATTAATGATGACCCAGAAGACATTCAAGCACTCACTCCAGGACACTTTTTTATCGGGTCAGCAATCAACACTGTTCCTGAACCATCAGTCTCAGAACCTGTACATTCAACTCAAAATCGATGGCGGATGATTCAACGACAATCACAGCAGTTCTGATACAGTTGGTCACAATCTTATTTACAAAAACTACAAGCTATTTCTAAGTTGTTTTTCAGGAACAGAACAATTTAAGTTGGTACATTAGCCTTGCTGACAGATGAAAGATTTCCCCCCACGAAATGGCCACTCGTGAGGATAATTCAATTGCACCCAGGGCAAGATGGGCTTCCACGAGTAGCAACGGTGAAGACACCAACAACGACGTTGGTCAGACCAATCGTCAAACTAGCCATTCTACCAATCGAGCCAACTCCTGAAGCCCAGCAGCAGAATCAACTTGAGGACAATCATCAACCAGTTGCTAATGGCGGGCGGCATATTGAGAATTAATTAATTCTCAGTTTGAATTTGCCAGCTGACAGGAACTTCGGCGGTCATCTTGGGACTGGGTCGATAACCAATCGACCAAATAATTAATATTTTTTGATCTAGTCACTCATTTGACTAATTTTCAGTGTCCCTTTTGACTAATGAAGTTCCTGTCACTATTCTTTCACTGTTCTCGTTCACGTGTACACGCCATTCACATTCCTTTCTAAAAAATCTTAAAGTTTTGAGTCAATCATTAGTGCTAGTGCTATTGTGAATCATCAGAAATATTCAAGTTTCAGTCTACAATAGAAATCAACTAATAATTCAAGTCGTTTCATAGTAAATTCAAGAAAATACGATAAATTCATTTTGCATTGCATAGATAGGCTAACGCCACGTGCACAATCATATTGTTCCTCAACTTGAGAAGCGTGCTGAGCTCGTGTGGGAGGTTAATAATACCGAACACACCAAGTTGAGTATTTTTGAGACATTCAATTTAAATTCAGTAATTACAATTGACATTAAGTGATTTCTAAAGTCATTAATTTCTTGTATTTAGTGACAAAAGGTCACCCAGTGTACATTGTGTACCTGTTAGTGCTAAAAATGACGATAATATATTTTTTATAAAACCTGACTTCCATTTGCTCTGTTCTGGCACAATCATCCCTATCCTCAAACGGTTAGGTTAATTCACAAGTTGAGATTTTCTCAACACATTTAATATATCACAATGAAATATATAATGTTTAACAATGAGGTAAGAAATTGATTTTAAAATCTATTAGACAAAATAGTGATCATTTTTTTAAGTAAGAAACGAGATAAAATTCGAGTGGTCGGAAATATGCAAGTTCCCTTCATGTACAGACGTAATTTTAGATTAAATAATAGTTTTGAGACAAATGATTATAATAACTAATATAATTGCACAGTTAAAACTGATGCTAATAAATTCCACAATCACTGATACCTCATTCCTCTTATAAACGAGAAATAACACGCTGGCTGATTTTAAATTAATTCATTGATGAATAATCATCCAATGATTGGTATACAATTAAAACGAAACCGGAACATAAATTAGAAGTCCTCAAATAACTAATGAATATCTTTAGCTTTGATGCTTGTACAAGAAAATTTTTTTTAAATCAATATTATTTATTCCAATCGACAGCTTCTTTAACTCTATGATATTCTACCAGCATGTGATCATGATAATTCAATAGAAAATGCAAATCCGTAAGACTACGAGCATGAAAGTCACGACTGTCTAAAAGAAGATTGGCGTGAGAAAGGTAGAAACGTGTCACGCTAATTAGTTAAATCGATTGCTTGATACGATTGTAATTTTACTTGATTCACTGTTGCAGATAATGCTCACAAGTAGTCAATTACAATTTCTGCCTTCATTTTATTACAATACCAACAAAAAAAAAATGATCATAACGACAACACTAAGAAGAGAACAAAATTTGTCATTACGCATTATCGAGGTGTTGGAGATTACATACCCGATAAGAACAATGAATAACACGAAAAAAAAAACGGCTTCGCGAAAGTGAATTATGATGATACTTCACTGTAATTTCAGTACACAACTCAAGTGATTTATATTTTGAAAGCTTGAAGATGAAAAACTGAGGATTAAATATCATCAAACATACGAACACCGAACCAGTGTCAATGTGATTGTTGATACAATGGAGGTACATCAACTGAGAAACATTGTCTGAACACACGAAGCAATTTGATTACATAATCAAAAAAATCACAAAAAAACTTTTAAAAGTATTGAATTACTTGAATGAAAAACAAATATTCATTCACAGTATTTTTTGCATTTGCAATTAAATCAAATGGTGTGGTATTAATGAATGAATCAGAATGTGTATCTTATGGCATATAATAATATTGGTAGTGGAAAAAGATTCATGGAAAAATTTTTTTTGTTTTCTGACTTATCAATCATTTTGCACATTTAACGGCATTGAATTTTAGCTTGAAAAATTTGAGAAACTTTTCCATTGGAAAAAAAAGAAAACGATTGTTTATCTTGCCGGAGGCGTTTTAATCTTCTCGCGAAACGAATACACAAGTAGAAAAAAAAGAGAAAGATAAATAAAATTTTGAACTCACCGGAGTGAAGCAGAATTAATTCCTATGATCTCGTGTGTTAAGTAATTTGAGATGACGACACTATCACTAAATAAAACGATAATAATCACTTGACAATTAATTGTTTTTTCGTATATAATTTAGAGCGGTAGGTAATAAATGATAAATCAACTGCTACGTGAGGTACACTCAATAAACGCGATGTATCACGTGAGACAATCTCATACAGAGATATGTTCAAAGAGCCTCGGACCGCCATGCACTGACTGGACGTGTCTTACTTGAATGCTTTCATCCTGTGCGCACGCATGTTGCCTTCCCGCACTCTGCCGACTGTTCTAGAAATCTACCACTTACGCCATCTTTGTACCTCTCCCAGAAACTTCTTACCTGTAAATTTCAACATGAAAAAAAATATGTTTTGTTGCAAATAAATTACCATTTTAGCTTTTATTGATAAATATCTTTTGTACTTTACTCAACAAACAGAACAAAATTAATTTTAATCATGAAGGCTTTTGAACATTGAAATTCGGGTTCACATTTTTTGACTACATTTGGCATTTTTACATGGACAGCAAACAGTAATTTTAATGCTAATCATTAAAAAATAATATATGGTTTTTGACACTTAGAACTATTTTGAATAGTAAATATTAAAAAATATACTATCGAGTATGTTATATGCATAATACTGATCGGTTATAGTTCATTTGTTTCTCATGCTACCTTCCCCGCTACACCTGTTACGAAACTGACATCGCCATGATACGTGACTTACGTGAAAACATACATATTTCATCTTAGTGACATAATAAAATATACTTGAAAATGAATTTATAGTTTTTTAATCTAAATGAAGGACTATTTTTGTCGATTTTATTTATTTAAATGTCATTCTATAACAAAATGTAATAATTGGATAAGTTTTCTCTTACAACTTTGAAATAAAATAATGAAATTATTTTGATAAATATTTTGTTTAAAATTATCGAATATTCAGCATCAAAATGACAACTGATGTGGATAACTTTTCTACAGCAGAAATATTAGCAAACTATTGATTGAATCTGTAGCATTCACCATTTTAATATGAAGATAAGATAACAGAAGCACGATAAAGAAAGTTTAAATGTTGACCAACAATAATTTCTGCATATTTATCCTCTTGTTGAATTTACTTACCTTGTTTTTATTATTATTTTATTCTCTAGAGATCGGCTGATATGTATTTTGTTGTCATGTTCAACTAGACCGACACTCGACATTCAATTCTGAGAAATACCTTCAGTCGAATACACCGGCGTTCGTGTCGAACGACTACGTTCACGCATGCGTAATAGCGACCAACAGGACTTGAAGAGCACATTTCATTTGACGTTAGAATTAATTTTAACAACGAGGTATCTTTTATTTAGTTTTTAAAAGTTTAATAGCATTAAAATAATCTATTATTGAAGATATTTATTGTAAATTATTGAGTTAAAGAGAAAATTGATAGAAAATACTTTTCTTCGTTTCATTTACAAGAGATTTATCGTTGTCCATTCTCATGTGTTTTCTAGAATCACTTGTTTGACTGAATTTTATTGAACAGCATTATTATATAAATTATTTATTCAGTAGCATCAATAAAATAAAATGTATGCGTAGTGTAAAAAACATACTCATACAATCAATGATTATAATTATCATCAAGTGCAAAAAGTTTTTGTGATATTGGTCGAAATTATTAGTTAAATAACCATTAACTTTAGTAAGTATGTAACGTGTTGAAATGTGCCATAAGTTAGAATTATTTCAAATGGATGCATATTAATTAAAAGAAATTAATATGTCCACATACTAATTTACTGTACATGGATAGTACTTTTTAAGACATCCTTACATTGTATCATGATTTTTTTTTTACCAAAAATATGTTAGCTCATAGAAAAATAATTTTGCATATCATCATAGAGTAATATTCCAATAAAATTGTAATATTGTCATACATTTTCTGTTCATTGCTTTACTCTTTCAAGTATTAATTTAATTTTTGTTGCTCAGGTACAAAGAGAATACGTTTCAATTCTACAAAGGAAATCAATTGCTTGAGACAATGGAAGAGGTGTATCAACTAGCTTACTGTAAGTCATCCTTATAAATTATTTATTCTTTTATAGATAACTTTCTATGTTGATAGCTTTGTCTGCGTTTTTCCTCTTTCTCGTATATTTCTTTTTCTTTAACTTGGCGTAAATTCATCAAATAATCTAAAGAAGGTGTTTCCATTCCCATGAAAGCTACTGAGTAATTTTTGATGCCTAGATTATGAAAAATAATCTCATTATTCACAATCCACTGGCTGTAAAATATTTCTGAAATTTTTTTTAATCCTAGCTTCTCAGCTAAACTTTGATGATAACTGGACGAAAACATTCCAGCGATGACAGGAATTTCTGAGGCAATTACTATTTGAATGCAAGCTTCTCTTAAAGCAGATTTTAAATATCGATTCTGATAAGTTGAATAAACACATAAAATATAAATACGAAAAATCATGAAAAACATCAGCTTGTTTAATTAAATTATTCTTCAAGCTCATTATTTTTTCGAAAGACTCTCCTTGCATAATCTTTAAAAACATAAAAATTTTTTTTTAATTTAATTAACAACTAAATTATTTACTGATTGAAAGCGAATATTAATTAATTATGTAAATATATAAACTTGAATTCGAGAATATGTCGTACTCTTATCCACAGTACTGTTAGTTCTTGCAATCACAGTACCCACTACTCGTCCTGATCTAGAACGAATAGCAACTAGACTTGTTGTATCGTTCATCCATACACGAATTAGGTCAAGATAATTTTGAACTGATACATCATCTCTGTGAAAATTGATAGCTTTACACATAGGATCTTCTGTAAAGTAATGGTACTATATATATTTTTATAATATTTATTTTCAATATACATTGGACAATAATGGTAAAAATTTTAACAGATAGATTATTAAAAAATATTGATTGATTGGCTTATTTATTCTATTTAATATTGATAATTCATTGTATAAGATATTTCAATCCAGTTGACATTCTAAGAGCAGAAGTGTCAAACTATGTTATGAAAATGTATACCTTTCAAAAACTACATAAAACATTGTATGAAATTGGTGTAATGCTAACACTAGAAATCTTATTGAAATACATGATCTAGTAATAATTGAACTACTGCCAATTCTATTTAAACTTAAGTTTCTATAGCTCTGATTATTTTATTATTACCTTTATCAAACACAATACATCATCGTAATGTTGACTCTGTAAGTCAAATATCTGACAGCCTTTCGGTGCAGACCAATAAAGAGGTTATACTGCTTTGTTCTGCATTTTGATAAATATTTTATCTGGTTTCATGTTCGAGTTACTACTGATGTCATTCATTTTGAACATACAATTATTTAAATTTTACTTTTAATTTTATTTAAAATAATTATTTTTTATCTTTTCTTTTATTAGAGAGTGTTTCGCGTTTGTTAACAATTGAAAGTTCATATGTAAACGCAAATCTTCATGTGTTTTCAGCGGAAAAGGAAAATTCAATGCATAATCCTGCGGGGTTCGTTTCAAATTTTCTACTCTTTTGTATTTTGTCACATATATTTTATGACATTACGAGTTTCAATTAATTTTGCTTAGTGAAAGGATAATTTTATTCATGCACTCATTCGGTTTTAATCCATTACAACTTGGCTTGATAGCATGATCTGTATTATGTGTTTTCTTTATTCAATAATGGCAATATTATGGCTAATTAAATTTCTAATAATTTACAACATGCTTCAACTATCTCAGGAATATAATTGACAGCAGATAGTTAGAATAGAAAAGAAATTTGATTCAATTGATCTATAAATTAACTTAAACTAGTTGTTTTAGAGTTCATCCTTAAGTGAAGTTTTTTGTGCAATAATTACATCAGCTCGATGGGGTAATGTTGCCCAAAAGTCGAGCCTCTCTTTCAATAAATGTTTCGACATTCTTAGATCTTGTGAATTTGAAATATCAAGATATTCGTGATCTTCTGTTCTCACAGGTTTCCATTTTAATGGTATTGTTTTTGTAATAGCGGGTGTAGGATTTCTGAAAGGAATAAATAAAAAAGTACTATGAAAAGGAATAAATCTTTAAATATAAAAATTTTTGTTCAATTGCAATAATCGAGTTACCCAGTTTTTGCGAAATTAAACCATAAAGTAGTCATGATGTCAATCATCCGATGATCTTCTTTGCTCAGTGTAGTGTCTTTGAATAACTGTTCACCAACTGGGAAAAGATATTGAAGTTCATCTGCATGAGAAACTCCATAATCTCCTTGTGGTGCTCCGAATATCCTAGAGAATGATGCACTACTTTTGTAGGAGAAATAATAATAGTAGACTGGACTTGAAAGGGCATTAAGATGATCTCTGACTGCCATGTCTCCACCAACATTAAACCAAGCGTCTGAATACATCTGAATTAATTAAACACTTATTATCATATCACCAGCACGTGTTGATAATTTATTATTCTCTTCTTACAACTTATTACTATTTATATCTTTACTTACGTCAATGACTTCAAACTTGGTAGATTCATCTATTGGCTTATCACCCAAATAAAACTTGCGAATTTTTGTTGCTACATCTTTAAGTGATTTTTGTGGACAAGTGTCTTCATACATCAGAGTCATAGGAGCTAACTCCATGAAGTTGTCGTTCAATTTCTTGTCATACTGATATTCTTTGAGACCATAAAGACCTATTATAGTAATGAATGATGAAATTATGCACACTATTCATTTACATAATTGATTTTACAATGCTATCAGTTAATTATTTATTGACAATTTATCGTGAATACTTGAAAAGTTACTTTGAGTATTAACATTATTTTAATTGTAAAATAGACAATAATAAGTATCCAAACATGTTCTATAGATTTTTTATTAATCTGACATAGCAGGAAGGATTATTCTTGTTATTTTTAAAACTCTTTGGCTAATGATAATAAGACAAAAGTCTAGCAAAGATAATTTTAATTTCAAATAATATTTAAAAGAAAATAGATATTTACCTGCTACTTTGATAGCTCCTTCATGAGAATTGTATCCTGTTATCCAGGGAATATCAGCCATGTTTCCATTTTTCAAAGATTGAGCAGGCTCTTCGTTTAAAAATGCCCCAGGATGTTTTGGCTCAATGACTGGTCTAAATGGGATCATTGGATCATAGTCGAATATCTGAAACAAATAATCCACCATCATTCCCATTTTTTGCAAATTCCATGAAGATCAGTTTTATTTAATATAATTAATAAGTTACTTGATGATGTTTTGCTAATTATCGTTATATTTCATGCTACAAGTTATCATATTGATTATTTTGTAAATATGATCGATTAAATACTAATTTATTTATTTTTTTCAATGTTTTAATAAAAGAAAATTTTTTTATTATTGTTGAATAATTTTTATTAACTAATATATATCAATATCACCCAAATGTTACCAAGTAATTTATGATAAATTAATTGATGTTAAAACATATTAGTTCAGAGTAACTGTTGCATTCAATCTGATAATTATCGTTATTATTGTCGTTGCATAAAATATGAAAGCTACTGTTTGAATTCATGAAACAGAATTCAGTGAATGTGAAAAATTCAAACATTTAAATGAAAAAATAATGTCAATTTACTCAATAAATCACTTTTTCCTTAATTAAGTGGAGAAACATTTTCCTGTGAATTACAAGAATGAATAAAGTATATTCGTCAAGCATTTATTTTTTTGCTATTAATCTCTGTTGAAAGACATTCATGTTTATAAAACTACTAACGCGTAGCAGACCGGTTTTTTAATTGTCAAGTTTTTTCTACTATATGGGGACAAACCATAGATAATCTCTACCTGTCTGCATTAAATCAAGATTGCCTGTAAATTGTGTCTTACATCAGTAAAAACACAAATGATCTCGATAATTTTTATAAAAAAATCACTTACTACTTCAAATAAAGTTATTGCATTAGCACATCTATTTCTGATAATCATAGCCTGGTAGAAATATCTCATATCTATCAAGATACCTATCGTAGCTAAACGATTAAATCAGTAACAACATTGCTTTAAATTTGTGAAGTTTCGAGCAATTACCACTTCATTTTATGGATTCAATTAAAAATCTATATCAGCTAGCTAACATTTTATGAGAAAAAGATTTTATGCTATTAACTTATTTATGAAGAAATCAAGCAATAATTTTTAACGTTTACTTGTCAATTATAAACCTTCGACAGTGACAGAATGTTAGTAAGTATTTCACAAGGAAATACAAGATTAGAGGGAGTTAAAAGACAGTGATTAAAGTTTATAATCATATGCTTGACTAAGCAAAATGAATAAATAATAGATGTTAGAAGTAATCACGTTATATAAAGTATACTTACTTGGAATATTCTATCAGCTCCTATGATATCTACAGCATCTTTTTGACGAAGACATGCCAAAAGTTCTGATGAACTTTGAGTAGGACAGTTTAAATGTTCTGCAAGACGAATTGCTTTCTTTTTCGCATGACCTGGTCTTGTTAGTACCCATGGACAGAGAACAGTTCCACTTTGAGAGATTCCTCGATGAATTAAATCTGTAATTAATTACAAATGAATTAACCTTATAAGGCAAATGTCATCAATTTTGATAGTTAGGTCATGAGATAGGTGTTAGCGTTCTGATGAGTAACTTTTTATTACGAAAATCAAATAAACGATTGCTTTAATATATAATTTGATAAATTATTGCAATAATTAATTTTAATAACAAATAGTACTTTTTTTTATTACTTTGTTTTGCTTTGAAATTGCAAATATTTAATTTTATGTGCATTTTGTTTCATAAATAATTGCGCAGCAAATGAGTGGAAATTCTTTTAGAATAATCTTTTAATGTTCCATGTTAGAATCAATTTATTACCAAGTATAATTTCATCATCATAAAGAGATGTTCTCTTTGGAACTTTGAAATCTGTCTTTTAGGTTGAGAATTTTCATAAAATGATTTGAAAAAGTCCGATATATTCATGAGTTATACATACTTCTTGATAGTGGGCTGATAATATGATATTGGGTGCTAGCTCCACCAGCACTCTCTCCAAATAATGTAATTCTATTTGGATCCCCACCAAAAGCTGCTATGTTTTCGCTTACCCAATGAATCGCTTGAGATTGATCTTTCATTCCTTGATTACCTGGAGATACTAAGTCTTCAGTGCTAAGAAATCCTAATGGTCCAAGTCTGTAAAAAGAATTTTAACTATTTCTGATTTTTTTTTTTTAATTTCATTTTGTTACTAATGAATGACTTAGAGTTTATATGAGTTCTTTGCTCTATTATTAATTTTTAAGAATGAAGAAATATATTTTATGATTAATTATTCTAATTCACTCAATTTTTATTTTATTTCTCATGAAATTAATACATGAAAATGAAGGTTTTTAGATAAATATACTAATTAGAAATTTTAAACCTGTCATTATCATTCATATAAATTTTTATTGTACATCATAATTTAACAAAGCTTAAAATGCCAAAATAATGAGTACATTGACTTCGATTGGTTCGTTCACCTTAGTCAGAAATGTGTAAAATTATTTTTTCGCTTTCAGTTAATGAAATAGAACTTTGTTGAAACAGAGATCAATTATGTATAGATAAAATTTTATTGTTTTCTTTTAATTACTTATTGTCTTGCTTTCTAATTTTTTAATATGCTTATTACAATGCTTATTGAATGAACAGTAAAATAATATCATAACATAGATGGCCATATATCAAAGTCCTAGATTAGCTGTCTCTATTTTAAGGTCGTCAGGGCTATGCAGTCTTTTTATTTCATTGCAATAAAATACTTGACAACAAATATAATTAAATACAACAATTTAATTTCTGATTATTTCTTACATTATTATTAATTATTAAAATTCTTATATTTCAAAAATGTCATCGTATACATTCATGATAAATTTATGGTTTACATATCTGATGAATACTTCTAGAATCATGAAGGGATCACAAGTCCATTATGAATTCACTTAATCTTATTATTATCTAATAAAATGATTGATGATTTCCATAAAGATTTAGAGAAAATATATGATATGTATTTCATTTTATTTAGAGTATTATTGGCTTATAATATGACGTCTAATATAAAAATAAAAAATAACTAGTTTTATCATCAATACTGTAAATTATTACAGTTATTCCAAGATTTTGAATTAACTTTTTTGATCTTGTTGAGAAAGCAATACAAATTATGAAATAAAAATTATTAGTCTCATACCTTTATCAGAGACAAAAAAAATTCACAAAACAAATAATAAAGTTTGGAATGTTCTTTGTTATCAAATTAAATTTTGAAATAGTTGGGAAATAAATTGATTAATCAAGTCAATTAAATATAGCTGTTTTATAAAAAAAATAAAATATTTACCGATAGTTGATGGTAACAAGAATTACATCATGATCCAGGAAAAATTTTGGATTATAATACTCTGAATGTCCTGCTCCAGTGACCCATCCTCCACCATGGAACCAAATCATGACTGGATAATTAATTCCAGCTTCTTTCATCTCAGTGGTTGGTAATTGAGGAGTATAAACATTCAAGTAAAGACAATCCTCCTGACCTACAATATCTTCTTCATGGGTATAGATATTTCTCTGAGTACAAATTGGTGCATCTTGTTTTGCTGATCGAATTCCAGTCCAAGAACTTGCTGGTTTAGGTGGCTATAATGATTTTAATAAACGAATTATAAATATTTTTATTTCAATTTCATTATATTTTGATTATTTATGATTACAATATTATTGACATTAGTAAGAATCTTATCATAGATAGATATTTATTGATCTTAGTTATCAAAATAAATAATCATATTGACGTTTGGACAATAATATAGAAAGTCCAGAAAGCGTGATAATAAGAGTGAAATTTGTATAAGGAAATACGAGTGATTAGATTTTATAACATAAATCAATTTATTACGGTAAATGATAATTAACTTTCTGCTTTCTATCACTAAGATACATATTACTACTCAAAAGGTTTAAATGATTTATAAACCGTATCCAACAAATGAAATAGATTAAATGAATAAATATTTCTTACCTCGAATCTTAAATCACCAAGGGGTGGAAGTGCATAAGGAATGCCTCTGAATGAAAGGAATTCTCTTCCAAGACGTGTTTTCATAAGAGAACCCTCTAGAGTACCATTTTTAATTTTCACTATAATAGAGGCATTAACTAAATATTCACTTAGCCAGAAAGCTCCAAAAAAGAACGAACACAAAAATTGAACCCTCATTGCTGCTGTTGAATTTAACTGTTGATCTTAAGTTATTAATTCATCCACATATCTTCATTTCTTATTGAAAATGATGTGAAAGTTTATGGAGAGTGAGAGACGTTCACTTTAAGAAGGTAGAAACGCGACTGTTTCGTATGCTTGATGTCAGCGGGTATCTTCAAGGCGATAACATTAAGAACTGTGTTGATTTCGACGTAGGAGAGCGAAAGTGCTCAAGTGTTAAACTCTTTTAGATACTGTGACAGCATCTCAATGGATTTACCTACTTAGTTATGACAGAAGTGATATAATATACCTTGATATTTCATTCAAGTGTAAATGCTAAATTCGTTATTAAATTGATAATGATAAAAATCATTTTTAATATTTCCATCTTTTTTCTTCAGAGAAAGCAGTAAAAATAAGTTATATTAATGATGATAATTATTAATTATTAATCAGAGGTTTCTCATTTTTTAAACTTAGTAATTGAAATTAATACTAATGACTATCATTAATGACTATTTTAATCAAGAATGCCTCATAAATTTAAACATTATAAATAATAATCATTTTTTAAGAACAAAAATGTAAAATTATTCAGTCTATAGCATTTTATTATTATTTTAAAATTTATTTTATATAAAGAAACAAGTTTAACACTTCATTTTTCATGATGACTGTTTTTCTGTTATTTATCCTTGGAAATCAAATGAAGTTGACAGTAATTATGGTTCCAATTACATCCAACCTGATAACTTTTTTCTGATCACACCGTTCATTGATTTATGTATACTTTCTTCAAAAAAAAACAGCTTTATTTATAATTGACAATGAGGTTTTACGTAGATAACTTGTAGGTATTTGACTACCAATATGTTTCTTTATTTTATTCATGACCACAATCAATTATCATTTCTGGTTATGAATAATAGAGATTATATCATTGAAAAGAAGATATACTGGAAAGTAATTAATATTACAAACATCAAGGTTACATATTACTAATTTTAAAAAATTTTATTTATAATTTAAAACATTAATTTAAATTAACAAATAAATTAGATTGTTTGATACATTACTAGCCTTAGATTAAACTAATTTGTTCAAATGCTATATATTTATTTGAATATAAATTGTTTGCAACTGCAAAGTTCACTTGATTAAAATTTTCAACATGTTTTTAAATTCCAATCGAAATTATGTGGTAATAAATGAGACACAGTCCATAACAACAATTCTCATAGGTAAGCCTTAAGAAATGAGATTAGAAACTTTGTGCATTTTCTAATGGCCTAATGAAGTATGTGCATATCGAATAGGAACATGTTATGGATATTTTATTGTAATATAAGTTGTAAAAGATCAAACTGCTACTCAACATTTGTGTCTCTCAATCATGATAATTATCTGAATATTTATATTTGCTAAAATATATGTACTATTTATTTATTTATCTTACATGAATAATATTTTTGTACAAAAATAAAAATTATAACTTTCCATATAATATATACAGTGCCCTATAAAATGAAAGTTTATTGGTGCAATGAACTTTGAAAAAGTGACAGCATTAAGGAGACTAATTTTATCAAACATCATCTATCGAAGGAATGTTTTTAGTTTTTCTGGAGAATAGCTAATTATCAAATCACTGACTCACCTTAGACAGTCATGACTATTACGTCGTACGATATGTTTTGATCTCTTAAAAGACTGAAATTATTCAGAGCTCTTGAATATTGAATCTCTAACCTATGTTATGCAAATGTCAAAATCATTGAAAAACTAATAGTCGATCTAATTATTTAATTGCCACTCATTACAATTATTCCAAGATTCGAGAAAATGGATGTACATAATTTTCATTTGAAAAATAGCTCTGTTTATTGCGTCAAATTGGAAATCAGATTCTTCAGTGGTTTTAGTTCCAATTGAATCTTAAAAAAGTCTGAAATCCGCTAAAAAATTATAAAATATTTTCGAACTTTCTAGCAAATAATATTATTTTCATAATCGGGTAATAAAGGGTAATATGAGCTATTTTAATGAAAAAATTATTATTTTTATCGATGGTTTGTAACAAATTTGAACTTGCTATTGTTTAAGTTTTATGCGAACAGAGTCGCAGACATAGGCTAGTTGTTCGATAAACTTATTTCCCTTACGTGACTCACCGCTCGAGCTGAAGATGGTACGAAAATCTGCTTGCTATTACAGCGACAAAGAAATATATACTAATTTTTTCCATCTTTGACTCTAAACTTTGCTAAGGTACTTGTTAATTTTTGTATATTTTTGCAAAAAGCTTCTCGATAAATGATTCTCTTATATGTTTGTTTATAATTGCATGATAAAAGTTATGTATAACATAAATTTGTAACTAAAGAACTAAAAAAAAAGTATCGATACCGGATCAGGCTCCAGTAGGAATCTGAATATACATATCCTAACAAACTTTTGACTGACTCATTTAAATACTGTTAGGTCCTGTTCGTTTTGTAAGAACCTAAATAAGTATTAAATGAAGTTTAGTACCTTAATGAGTTGATGCTCAGTTGGAAAAAGAATTTATATCGTTATCAATAAGTTTATTAACTTCCCATGAGGAAGTTATTGTAATGATTCGATTTGGCGACATGTGGAGAGTTCATATAAATGGTTTTTAGAAAGATTTATGTATGTATGTATGTACGTAGTTCATACGGGCATTCGGATATTTTACGTTCACGGTTTCTTAAAAACCAATTGAGATATCGACTTCAGGCTAATTCTATTTTTCTAATTATTCGAATTTTTTTAATTCTATTCGATATAGAAACTAGAGAACAAGAACTTAAAGGAGTTTAAATATTGTCTGTCAATTATCTTTTTTATTTGCAAAAAACAAAATCAAAATTTAAAACTGGTAAAGGTTTTAAATTAATAAGTAGATTACGGTTAGTCCTACAATAATAAGTCATAGTAATTTTTTGTAGCAAATTAGTTTGCGAATATTCTATCTTAATATATTTAAAATACCGTTGATTCTACGATGAATTGTTCAAGTAGTCTTTTGTAGAAAATTTTCTATTCTATCATGTATCACTTAAAATTTTTGTTATAAACTCAACCGTTCTCACTCTGTTCTCAAAAAATTGATCTAAAAAAATATTTTTTCAAAATATCTCAAAAATGGTAAATCCTACGTTTAAATCTATACGCCCTTTGTTGTAGAAAATTTTTTTCTATACAATTTGCATTCCTACAGTTGTTGTAAAAGTTATTCGGTTTCAAGATATCCACAAATAAGCGTCACGGAATACAGACAATGCTAAAATACCATGGGTATGATCGATCCAATAATCGATTACAATTATTTCGCAATTTTTTTCCATTTATCGATTAGAATCGACTTATGAGAAGTTCTACGTGTGGACTTCGTTCGCGTAATAATAATATAATGTGCATAATTACATTACATAGTAATAGATTGATAAAAATAAGTATAAAAAGTAAAATGCTGTAGTTTGAATGAACCAATTCCAAATAAATATTGCTTTATGATAATATTAAGCAAAAGTAGTAAATTCGTAGGTATTAATAATGAAAGAAAAAAATTTTAATTTTATCGTGAAATTTAATTTTTGCTCGTTTACAATGATTTAATTGTTATAAAAAAAAGTCCGTGTTCATTCATGTTACATAGTGTGTATTTTCACACTTGCAGTCCTCTGATAAATGAGACGGATATGGATAGATATATTCTGTGCTCTGTCTTGCTCGGAACAGGTGATTCGGAAATTTGTAAATTTCTTGGTGCCCTAAGGCTCCTTTTTTTATAGTCATCCCTGAAAGTTATCATTTTTCGAACGATTTCCCTGTTACCTACTGAATTTCAGTTGACATCGAGCTTCGGCCTTCTACTGCACAACGCGAGGGCGTAAAATCAACTTCGGGAAACTTGCTATTTTGAGTCTAGCCTTATCATTACCATTTGTCGATATGCTCATTGTAACGCACACTGTAGTTGTCTAAAAGTATTATAGATGTCATTACAGCTTTCTTAAGTAGGCTTTTAATATTTTCCATCAATTTTCTCAAGGATTTTCATTACTTTCGATGCCGGTTGCCCTTGTCATTGCTCAGCAAACGTAGGGTGCAACCCTCGGAAATAAGGGTAGCTTTGAGGGTCATTCAGTAGGGTGACCATCCCTTGCTTATACAAACCAAGGTGTTATACAGGATCAGCGCGCCATTTTGTAATTCACCAAATTTTAATACCTTGCGAATTTTTCCCGTGCTTTTCCACATAGAACGGAATTCAACCATTGATTTTATCTTATTCTTTATTTCGTCTGACATTACATATATTTTGGTAAAAATATCTGATAAAATGTTTTCGCTATTATATGAAATGGCTGTCTAACAGATTATTTAGGCAACTTTCCATTTTTTATTTTTAAAATAACTTTATTATCAAGACAAATAGAAGAATATTTGGAAAGTAAATAACAGATTTTTCTATCTATATCGTAGATATTTGAAATTTAATTCGGAGTAACTTTACTTCTCTATCTTATATGACTAGACTTGTTATCTAATATTACCCAAGCATATCATGACATCGAAAATTTGAGATCTTGATGATAAAATGACAAATTTGACAAGCTGTATATATACATAGCCATTTTATACATCTAAAAATATTTATTGATAATAACTCCGATTCTATGCATTACACTTTAATCATAAATTAACAATCATTTTATTAGTAATCATATAAAACCACTGATTTATGACATTATATTGTTGAAATGAAACAATTATATTGGTGAATATTTTTATAACAACATCAATATTTTAAACGATAATATAGGTACGCATGTGTGAGAAATATTCCTAAGATTTACAGTTATACAATAATTTTTTTTACGACTAATATTATTTTAAAACTACAAAATTCTAATGGCCATCATAATTTAACTTATGGCGCCTTCGATGTACTTACTGAGTTTTAATGCTATTTAAATTTTAAAAACTTTGCACTATTCTTCGCTAAAAAAGAATCTCTTTACTTTGATGCATTTCTTTATTGCCGTAGCAATAAAATTGGACAACTTAAACGTCAGTGATGGATTTGAAGTCTACTACTACTCATTTTGTAACAGATTTGCATGTTGTTAAAAACTTTAA